ATGCTCTGATCCATTCTTGAATAGTACTCGTATGCTGCATGCTACAGATTTTACATGAACTCTTTATTGGATCAGAAACATATTCACGGAGTATGAACTATGAAGTACTTGGTCCTATCTATTTCATTGACATATGTGTTGACTAATTTGGATCTTTTATTTAATTGGGACGCAGACATGATAAATAATATTCAAAACTATTAAAATAGTAGCTGATCAAGTTCCATTACTACTATAAAATCATGGCAATATAACAGCGGTAAATTAGCTAGTGGAGTATATTTTCCGTCACTGATGAAATTTTCGATGAATTAGAAACGAATGAACTTTTGTTAGTTTTGCAAATCTATTTTCGATGTAGAGATTCTGTCCACAAAGTATTCATCAATGAATTTTTAGGAGATTAAAAGTTGATACCTTGTTTTTTAGTGTAGATTTATTCGATTGCATGTGCGAGTTCAATTTTATTGTAATTAGTTTTTTTTTTAATGAAAATTGTTGAAACAAATGATGCATGTTAAAACTAGAATAAAACTAAATATAACTTAATTACCATTATACAAAATGTAATCCGACAATATTTAGAGCCGATTGAAATCACAATCTCTCAAAATGATGTTGTTCCCCTAGTTCTGTTATAACTGGGTTGTGACCCGAATTCTTGTTGAGTATTTGATTGAAAATATTGTTAGAGGAGTATTGAGAGTTGGTGTAAGACTTGAAGATGTTTTGAAGGAGTCCAATATGGATTATGATCATAATTCCATTTTTTTGGTTGCTTTTGACTCTTATTTCATCCTAAATTCTCATTACTGGTCTTACCCATTGTATTGGAACTTCATCTTATATTAAACTCTTCATGTATTAGTTCTTTTAGTATGTTAAGATTCTATGGTTATAATATGTGGTGTACAACACATATTGAAATTAATCAATTGTCCGATTATCTATTGATCCAAAGAGATCCTTCCATTAATTATAGTGAATTCTCTGCATCTGCCCCTGGTTTTCACGAATTTGGATTTCCACGTAAATCTTGTTTTCGTTGTAATCCATTATTTTTATATTGCTCCCATGTTCTAGTCTTTAATTGTTTGACCGGATTCTCAATAAAATGGTATTATAGTGATTTTGTTATCCGGGTTGTTTTCTAGCAATTGGTATCGAAATTGAAGGTTTTTTTACGGTTTCTCAGGAGGTTTAAATTGGTTATTAAAGTGAGGTTTGAACAAGGTCGATTGTTTCGAGGATGTCATTATGAAATTTGTGATTTCGCTTTTGGATTGCAATAGTAGATTTTCTTTGTGACAGATCAAAATGCAAGCAGTTCTTTCAAAATTGGATTTTAATGATTCTTTGTTGAGGATAGATAACCGCAACAATGATTGCGTAGGAGAAGCAATGTAAGGATCGGTTACATATTCTGGAAGGGTCGACAATCACTTTGGATGCAGCTGCATCTTAAGATTTGATAAACGATAACTCAAGTAGAGTTGGTTGTGATCAGGTTGCTCGTGGTGATTCGAGCAATAATAGTGAAGAACTTCCCAGTAGCTCAAGTGGAGCTAGATGTGATCTTGTTGATCATGTTACTCGGGTGATTCAAGCAGGTTTGACAACTCAGGTAAAGTTGGAAGTGCTCGTGGTGATTTTAGCAGTTTTGGTGACTCGGCTAAAGTTGGTAATGAATGAGATTATTCAAGCAAATTTGGCGAGCAAGGTAATTCTGCTGGTAAGCATGGCTTGGAATTTGTTCACAGCTGCTGAGTATGTCCGAAGTGGCATGGTGGAAGAGATAGAGTAATTTGGTAGAGTGTTTTGTTTGGAGAATTTTGTTGGAGTTGAACAGTTAAATTTTATTCCTTGCTATGGAATTCGTGTCAAGATGGAGTTTGTTAGAATTGAGTTGTGACCCGAATTTTTATTGAGTATTTGATATGAAATATTGTTAGAGGAATATTGGAAGTTGGTAGTAGACTTGAAGATGTCTTGAAAGAGTCCAAGATGGATTATGACCCTAATTCCATTTTTTTTATAGCCTTTGACTCCTACTTCATCTCGAATTCTCATTATTGGTTTTACCCATTGTATTGGAACTTCATCATATATTAAACTTTT